CCAAATTCAACTTCAATAAAAAAAACATAAAGGGCCAAGTAAACCAAGTCCCCAAACCCTATAAGCTGGGAAGATACAAGCAACCAGACCCCAAAATTTTGCCAGAACAATTAACTCGGTGGCATCGAGTTGCACAAGGCTTTTTCCTTAAGAAAAAGGAGGATAGATGTAAAATAGAAAGAGACAGGCGCTCCCTTTACAGGCGACGGAAAAAAAAATAACAGAGCGCTAAAAGGGTCAAATATCAAAAGGCAGGGAGACACTGGGAAAAAAATAGCAAAACATCGAACTTTAAGCTAAAAAAATCCTTTTGGGTCAGGGAAACGGGGGAAGAACAAAACCATAAAAGAAACGAAGAAACCCAAATAATTTTTTTCCTACCAAATCAAAATCGGAACAACGCCGTATTGGGCCCCCACTTAAACAAGATGGGTCCACACAATGACAGCAAGGGAAAAAGTTAGCTACCAAGTCCCAATATACTCAGTTTTTTTGCAACCCAACCAACTGGAGTCGAAAACAAAATGAATTTTTTATGGAGAGCCCAAAATTTGATTAACACAAGCCATCCGATTTATCCCGAGCCCAAAAGACTTCGAACGGCGAAATGAAGCCCATGCCTCTGCCCCCGGGCCGACTCAGGAAACCGTGTTCACAAGAAATGCAAGAAAACCCTATCACGAGCCTTTTCATCCCATGGAGGGGAGCATGGACCGGGGGTCGTCCCTCATTACTAAAAAAACGACATAGCCCCCCACCCACAAAGGGGGCGTAAAGAACAGCAAAGACTACAGACCCTAGCACTAAAATCCCAATCATAAAAACTTTGAAAGGGTCCTAAGAAACAAGATCACCACCATCTAGAAACCCATCTTACACAACCAGGGGCCTGGGTTTTGACAGGTCGCTCCGTCTGTTCAATACTGGATCACTACGACAAGGTCCAAAGGCACTAGAAGACAAAAAAAATGCAGATGTAATATTACAGACTTTTCAAAGCCCTTTGACAATGTGACCCTGGCGTAATGCGCACAAATGCGGCTAAAGGGAATAACAGGAAAAATTGGGCGATGGGTCTAAATTCCCCACTACGAACAAGAGAGTCTCAAAAGAGTAAAGTCCGAGGGAGCTACGGTGAAAAACTCGTTCACAGGCACAGTACTACCCCATCTTTTCCTCATCCTCAATCCGACATAGACAAGGATGTCAGCCACAGCACCCTGTCTTCCTTTGCAGATGACACCCGAATCGCATGACGGTCTTCCCTTGGACACTGCAAGGCCCAGGCGGCATCAACCAAAACTTTCAGTGGGCTGCGAAAACAATATGAAGTTCAACGTAGAATTTCCAATTACTCAGAATGGGAAACAAGGAAATTAAATCTTCATCAAGTACAAAACAAATTCGGCCCCAAAATAGAGCGAAACACCAAAGTCAAAGACCCGGGGGTGATTATGTCGGAGGATCTCACCTTTAAGGACATAACATTGAAATCAATGGGCATTGCTAGAAAAATGACGGAGGGATAATGAAACCTTCAAAAACTAGGAGGAAAAACCCCATGATGACACCCCTTCAGGTCACTTTTTCTATCTGGGGCTGGAATATTGCTGCACTCAAACCCAGCACCTTTAAAGGGCGGGGTAAAAATTGCCGACCTAAAAAAAGTACAGAGAACTTTCACGGCCGCAAAAACCGGAGATAAAACACCCAATTACGGGGGCCCCTTTGGGGTTTCTAAAACCGGTTTTCCCCCAAAAAACGCAGGGGGGAGAGTTTACATGTTTAAATATACACCGGGGAAAATCCTGAGGGCTAGTACCGAACCCTTGCCCACGAAAATCACTCACAAACAAAAGGGGCAAAAGATTTGGCGACTTGAAACCCCCCCCCCCAAGGAAAGCAGGGGTGTCCTACACGTTAAGAGACCAAACAAAAAAGTGTCAGGGGACCGGGACTGTTAACTGCCCCCCAGAAAACACATAAGGGGGTTAAACCAACAAACCCCCTGGAAACTTCAAGCGGGGCACTGGACCAAGCACCAAAAGGCATTTTCCGGGATAAGGGGCCGGGGCCTGTGGCTCGTACGTTGGTTTGCTTTGCAGCCAGCAGCAACACCCTTTGGTTGATCGGGCGCTGATCCACCGGGAGGCCGGGGCCCAAAGACCGGGGCCGCGGGGGCTTTGGGAAACCCCCGAAACCTCTCCTTAGTAAACTCCGGGAAAACCCCCACCTCAGTGGATATGCCATTTTTTAAAAGAAAAAAAGTTTTATTATTATTATTAATTACGGGAAAACAATAAACTCATAAGGGTCACCATTTGAAGGAAATGGTAGGCTTCAATTTTAAAATTCAAGGTAATATTAAGGTATACCCAAACCCTCCCTGGATAAACCCTTTAAAGGGGGCATTATTAAAACTCTTTTAGCAATTTAGTATAAATCCTTCTGTTTTAATTGTTTTTTTTTCCCCTTTAAATCTTTTTTTTACTTTTAAATTTTTGGCTCAAAATTTTAAAATATTGCCTTGTATTGGCCCTTTTTATTTTTCTTCACAAAAAAAACTAAAAAATTTTAAAATGATTATTGATCACAAGTTTATAAATGTTTTTTGCATTTTTATTAAATCCATGTTTTTTAGAACGGCGAAATGTTGGGGGAAGCCTTTTTCCACAGCTCAAACTGTTTACAATGAATAATTTTGGCCCTTTTGGTTTCCCCCCCCCCCCCCCCCCCCCCCCCCCCCCCCCCCCCCCCCCCCCCCAAAAAAATTTTTTTTTAAATTTTTAAAAAAATTTTTTTTAAAAATTTTTTTGGGAAAAAAATTTTTTTAAAAAAAAAAAAATTTTTTTTTCCCTTTTTTTAAAAAAAACCCCCAAAAAATTTTTTTTTTTTAAAAAAAAAAAAAAAATTTTAAAAAGGGGCCTTTTTCCCCTCAAAAAAAGGGTTTTTTAAAAAAAAAAAATTTTTTAAAAAATTTTTTTTTTGGGGGAAAAAAAAATTTTTTTTTTTGGGGAAAAAAAAAATTTTTTTGGGTCCTTTTTTCCCCGGGGGAAAAAAATTTAAAACCCCCCAAAAAAAAAGTTTTTTTAAAACCCTTTTTTTTTAAAAAAGGGAAAAAAAAAAAAAAAAACCCCGGGTTAAAATTTTTTTTTTTCAATTTCCCCCCCCCCTTTTTTTTTTTTAAAAAAAAAAGGGGGGAAAAAAAAAAATTTTTTTAAAAACCTTTTTTTTTTCCCATTTTTAAATTTTTTTAAAAAAAAAGGGGTTTTTTTAAAATTTTTTTTTAAAAAATTTAAAAAAAAACCCCCCTTTTAAAAATTATTTAAACCATTTATTTAAAAAGGGAAATTACAAAATTTTTTTTTTTTTTTAAAAAGGGCCCCCTAAATTTAAAAAAAAAAAAAAAATCCTTTTTTTTTAAAAAAAAAAATTTTTTTTTTTTTAAAAAAAAGGGGGGGAAAAAATTTTTTTTTGGAAAAAAGAAAATTTTTTTCCCCAAAAATTTTTTTTTTTCCCAAAAAGGGGGGGGGTTTTTTTTTTTTTTTCCCAAAAACCCGGGCCCAAACCCCATTTTCCAAGTTTTAAAGGGGGTTTTTTTTTTTTTTTTTTTTTTTTTAAAAAGGGGAAAAAACTTTTAGGTTTTCCCGGGAAAAATTTTAAAGTTTTTAAATTTTAAAAAAAAATTTTCCCAAAAAAAGAAAAAGGGGGGGAAAAATTAAAATTGGGAAAAATTTTTTTTTAAAAAATTTTTTTAAAAAAAAAAAAATTTTTAAAAAAATTTTTTTTTGTTTTTTAAGGGGAAAAAAAAAGGGAAAAATTTTAAACAAAATTTTTTTTAAAAAAAAATTTTTTAAAAAAATTTTTTTTTTTGGGAAAATTTTAAAAAAAAAAAATTTTTTTTTTTCTTTTTTTTTAAATTTTTAAAAAAATTTTTAAAAAATTTTTTAAAAAAAATTAATTTTTGGGGAATTTAATTTTTTAAAATTTTAAAATTTTTTAAAAATTTTTTTTTTAATTTTTTTTTTTTTAAAAAGGGGGTTTAAAAAAAGATTATTGACTCACCATTTGATGTGTATTGGACGCTTAGCATGATTTGTTTACTTTTGAACTTAGGTAAAAATCGAACATTTCTGCTACTTTGAGCTCAATTTCAAGGTACTTTTCATTGTAAAATCAGTCAAAATCATCTCAATTTCTGTAATATGTTTTCCATTCTTTAGAATGAGACCAGGAAAACTAGAATACAACAATAAATACCATACGAAAATACAGTGCAAATTCGCTGTTTTAATCCAAAAACACGGTCAAAGTTTTTTTTTTCTCATTATGCACTGTGTGCTGCAGGATTTTTTTTTATACTGCGCACACTGACCACATAGACCCATTCTTTCATATGTATGCCTACCAGCTTTCTCTCACTAGATTTGAGGGTGCTAGAATTTAGGCGTACTAGTATGCCAAAAACCCTGGTGCATAAGCCGTACTAGTACGGCTGAACCCTGAAAGGGTTAAATAATTCATTAATTGTTGTTTTACCTGTTATAAATTTGACAATTTACCCCACTGAAGAGAAAGAACATCTGCCTATGGTTGGTACATAATACATGAAATTGGGTATAAGGTTTAAAGTACAGTACAGTTCAGTACAGAAAATGATAATTAACAGAAGTTATATTATTGTATGTTCATGGTAAGGAGTACTGAACAGTTCTTAGATAGAGGAATTGTCCTTCATGCACTGATACTATTTATTAAATAAACAAAATAATGATGATAATGGCCTTTAGTTAGTGCTTGTTGTTGGATTGTGGCACAACACTAAACAGTGTTAATTTTTAAAGTAATCTATTCTTACCTCTTCATACATATATTTTTACCAACAGTTTTTAAACAGAGTATTTACATGAAACATGATTAACTATAATTTTATTGAATCTTAATTTGTTCTGTACTTTGCTGATTAATCATTAATATTAAAATGTGGTTAATTTTTCTAGGACTAATGGTGATTATGATGACTGAGAAATGGCAGATGACCAGGAACTTCTAGTCTCTACTAACCTCAATGCCAGCATGTTGTCCAGTCGTACTCTTAGTGCTTTGTTTATTTTTACATGTCTGTGTTGTATCTCAGGAACACAGTTGTATTAATAATTTGTTAAAAGTTTGTTTCTGAAGCTATCGTCTTTTAAAGGGAATTTTTTATACAATTTAAGTTACATAATATTTTAATGTATACTGTGTATGTATTACTGTAGTCATTTAAACAATTAATTTGGTATGGTTATTGTTAGGTTGTCTTAAGTTTATATGTCATATCAATTATTTATTATATTAGTTCTGTAGGATGATACAATATCTAATTGTGATTGTAACTGAAAGCATGTATGTAATTAGTAGTGCTTCTGTTTTAACAAAAAACAGGTCACATGTAATATTATGAACATGTCTCAGAGTACATTTGAATGCCATGATTTAGCTTTTTTAAGTTCTACAAAGGAACTTCTGTGCATCTCATTATGACAACTCTTAGCACCGTTCAAGCCTGCTTTGAAAAATGTATTAAAATAATTAATGGTTTCTTGCTAATTGAGAAATATTTAAACATGTACTATAGCCATTATGTATTAATGTACAGCTGAACTAGTACAACTTAGTCTGTGAACATTTTGTGATGAAATGAATGGGGTATACATCTCCACAATGTTAATAAGCAGGACGACTTATGTAGTATTTTCCTGGGTTAAAGTTGGGAAGGCTGTAGTTAGAATGTATAGACTTGAAAAAACCTGTTCATTTGTATATAGAATTTGTTTTAAAGAACAAATAATTATGCATTAATTTATGATTGTAATGTAATTTATATGAAGCTAATATTTTTATACATTTTCAAATAAACTTGGAATACGTGAATGACTCGTGCAGCAGTGTGGATGGTGAAATGTAAAGTAGGGCAGCAAGCTTGAGTGAATGATTGTCAGCATCCTTTGATACTTTGTTCACATGACCACAATAATTAATGATTCTTTTAAAACCAACTTTCTTGATTGTTTAAATAACCTTGGTATTTAATGATGGAAAGAGTTCTCTTTCTATTGACATATTTTCTGTGTTTGTGCATTTATTGGAAAAGTTATTAGAACTACTTATTCTCAGAAAACCAGTTTCTATAATAAAAAATTAAGCAAAATTATAGCAATGAATGACCTATTATAAGATTGAGAAGTAAATATTGTATTTACTTTTTGACAGTGTTAGATCTAGCCATAAGTTTGCATATCAACAACTGAAGGACTAAGAACAAGTGCTGTGTTCCTGGTTATACATATTTCCCTAGAGTTGGTAAATTATACACTCATGACACGTATTCTAGTTAATGAACATTTAATCAATTTACACTTAAGGTCCAATCCTTGGACTGAAACTGATTGCCTCTCATTTCTCAGGCACTGTTTGCCTCTGTAGATTTAGGGCTTCCCTATGAATTTATAATCCACTTCCTCAGATTAAACCTGATTAACTCCTATTGCTCAGGCCCTGTATGACCCTTGCCCTTCAACAGGGAAGGGGCCTTCATAGCTTGCAAAATGGTAACACGATTGTACCACCACAGAAGGTTCCGTGACGGTAGTGAGTGACTCTTAATCCAAGGAATTGAACCTGACGTTCCCTTACTTGGATCAAACCTAATTGCCTTCCATTGCCCCAGGTGCTGTATGACCCCTATGAGTTTAGCTTTATTCCCTATGAATAGAATATCACAGTTATAAATACGTATATAGGTGTGTACTCATATTTAATTGCAGATTTAGTCTCTCAGCTCATTGCTCCACCTGGAGTGCTGTATGATCCTAGTGGGTTTAGTACTTGGTTTTGATAATAATAATCCTGGCTTTGCCTCCTCACCAGCTGCTACTGGGCTAACACCTGACTTTGATAACCTTGTCATACCACTTCTTAAAGCTATGTATGGATCCTCCCTCTACCAATCCACTGTCCAGGTCATTCCACTTCCTGACTAAGACCAAAGAAATATTTCCTAACATCCCTGTCCTCCCAAGAAATGAATCATGTACAATCCTCAACTTTCATTACAGTCTAAAACCAGTGCTCTGCAACACATTCATAACTTTAGATCAAAGAATACCATCACAGCCTATACGCTGATGGCTCCCTTAATCCTGACAGTGGAAGGGCAGGAAATGCTGTTATTGTAAAGCGGTCTGATGATACTATAATACAGAAGTGTATTAGAATTAATAACTGGACATCCACCATACAAACAGCTATTTCCAATACTTGTTGCTCTCAAGCCTTTGGGAACTACAACTGCATAGTGTAATTGTAACTGACTCTCTTTTTCCCCATTACTTGCTCTAAATAGCCTGAGTCTTGATTACAGCATGCTTGTGTATGAAGTTAGGTACAGATATACACAAATTATTAAGAAAGGGATCACAGTTAAACTTCTGTGGATTCCCTCTTACTGAGGGAAATCCCTGGCATGATAGTGGCTTTCTTTGTACTTAGCAAACCAAAATTGTAATTACACGTTGTAACCTTTACAAAGAAAGAAATCTTTATCTTATCTTGAATCTCCAGGAGCATGTGACCCTTGTGGGTTTAGTGCTTGGTTTTGATTATAGTAATAATCTTGGATCATAACCAAGTTGATGAATTAGCTACATGTGTTAAGTAAAAATGCTGAGTAACTCAACTTCGATTTTTCAAATAGAAGTTTATGAAACAATGTGAGAAAGCAACTAACAAACAAGCATAGGGTGCACAATAAATTAGCTGCAAGATGAGCATGGAGTGCACAATAAACTAGCTGCAAGATAAACATGGGGTGCACAATAAACTAGCCACACAGAAGGTACAACTAAATACACTATGGTGAGACATAACTATACATGAAGTTCTCAAGGGGACTTTAGCTCTGGTGTTGGTGCAGTGTAAGTTCATTTAGGTACAAGTACACAAATAGTTACACAAATTATTATACACGGTAGCATAATAATAATATCTCGATTTCTACAAGTACATCAAGCTGACATCAATGACATACTGCTGTATAGAAAGCTGCTTGTTATGCAGAGCATTTTGGGCAAATTGGGTCAGTTTTGTCCCAGGCTGCGACCCACACCAGCCCACTAACTTCCAGGTTACCATTTTACTGATGGTGAATATGGACAACCAGTGTAAAGAAACATGCCCAAAGTTTCTACCCTCGCTGGGAATCGAACCTGGACCCTCACCATGTGAAACGAGCTTTAGCCACCAGGCCACGGGGCTGGTGGCTAGAGCTCCCGCCTAGAATAACCCAAAAAAGTGGCTTATTTACAGTGTAGACGTGTTCCTCAGGGATTAAGACGCATGGCTCTGCAGGTGTTAAGGTCTGGAGTCCACCTGATTTGAGTTGGAAATTTTATGTTACCGTTTCTCTTTTCAGAGGAAACCGCGTGTCCAGTAGCTTGATTACAAGCACATTCAGCTCAAACATAAGTAAGTTCATTCAGGTATACACAAATACATTTACATAGATTATCATACATAGCAGCATATGTGTAGAGAACCTAGGATAACCCCAAAACGTCAGACAGAGTGACTTTCTTCCATTGAGGTCTGTAATTCGATCCCCGGTATGGGTGGAAACATTATTACGTGTTCCACCCACACAGGGCACCATATTTGAAAAATAACATTTGCAACCTATATTATGATAATATAAGCAATTCTAAGACATATTTTTGTGCATTTTTCAATTTTATTTTTGGGCCATAAAATACACTTTTTGGAAGAATCAAATAGGATGTGTCACCCAATAATGGTTAAACTATAGGTGACAGATCAGGCATCAGATCTGATGCCATGCCCGACAACAGTGTCTACATGAGTCATAACAGCTACTAATAAATGATAATAAAAGGCATACATATACATTTAAGATTTATTAATAAACAACTGGGTTAAACAAAAGGCATAGTAACTTGATTTAAAATTTTTTAACACATTTGTAGTAGCATTTGACATTACAAAAATTGCAAAAATGTGACAAAAATATGGATATGGCACAAAATGAGTATCCTTTCTGTATTTATTGTGACATGCCAGTGAGGTAGTGTCTTGTACCACCATGAGGCCTTTTTGCATGCCGACTGCAAAGTTCTTCAAGTGAAGAAGACCATGAAGAAGAAAAACTTAGAGACGATCTCAGGCTCCTTGGAATTTCCTTGGTTGGCCTTCTTGCAGAATGCGACACGGAAAACCTGAATTCCTTGAGGTTTGTGTATTTCTCTTTCAAAGCAGAAGAGTCATGCCTGTACAACCAGTCATTGACCTTGTATAAGGAACAAGCAACAGAAGAGTAGGTACTCTTGTCCTTGTTACTGCAATGTTTACATGAAAGCCTGTTTGTAGAAACTGGCCAGTGAGGCGTGTTTCATCATATCTTGTATCACCATGAGGCCCTTTTCCACACCGACTGCAAATTTCTTCAAGTGAAGAAGACCATGAAGAACTTGAAGATAATCTCAGGCTCCTTGGGATTTCCTTGGTTGGCCTTAATGCAGAATGAGACACACAAAACCTGAATTCCTTGAAGATCATGTAGTTCTCTTTCAAAGCAGAACAGTCACGCCTGTACAACAACCAGCCATTGACACAACAAAGATCGCGGACATATCCAAAAAGCTGCATGTACCAGCGTTTTGCTTTGGGTGGAGACTTGTAGAGATGAACATTATAATTCTTCATGGCTGAAGGACAGTCAACATCTACCTTTTGTTTGGCCTCCTTGTTGTTCCTCCTTATCTTCATCACAGGGTTGATGCCCATATCATTTGTCAATAAAGTAACAAACCTTACTTTCTTTCCAACATACAGCAAGGACACCATCCAATGAGCAGTAATCCACAGCACCCCTTTTCACCTTCTTTTTTCCTGTGTCACTTACAGACATAAGTGGTGGATTTCCAATTCTGTTTTTCCTGGCAGTACCTGTGTACCTGCAACTGAATTTACTATGCAGATATTTCACTAGAGCCAAACTGGTAATGAAGTTATCTGCATAAATTGCACTGGTCTTTGTGTGGTCCATAGTCTCTGCAAGGCAAATAACAACCTTGGAACTTACAGGCAGTTCTTTCTCCTCTGTTAGGCTAACACTGTGATAATCAAAGGTTGTTTTACCTTGATACATCATCATGTCATGTATAAACCAATCACCACTTGCCTGGCAAAAAAGTTTGAAACCCCATTTATCAGGCTTGGTCCTGATATATTGCCTGAGGTTTCCTGCTCTTGTCCCTGTATAACCCACCATTACCTCATCAACTGATTGCTTTGGCATAGCTGGAACTTGTAAGCATGCTTTTGTTAGTGGATCAAACAGTGGTTTTATTTTATGGAACCTGTCACCTGTTGGCTTGTTATTATCATTTGCATAAATTGTTCTCCTCAGTAACCTAAACCTTTTAGATGCCATAACATTTGTAACATAAGGATTATAATGTTCAAGGAACCAGTAATCCTCTAAAGAGCACATGCTGATCATACTCATGTGTATCAGAATTCCAAGAAATTGCATGAGCCCTTCACGAGTGGTGTTGAAGTTACCTGGAGTTTACCTGGAGTTCCGGGGGTCAACGCCTCCGCGGCCCGGTCTGTGACCAGGCCTCCTGGTGGATCAGAGCCTGATCAACCTGGAGTTTACCTGGAGAGAGTTCCGGGGGTCAACGCCCCCGCGGCCCGGTCTGTGACCAGGCCTCCTGGTGGATCAGAGACTGATCAACCAGGCTGTTGCTGCTGGCTGCACGCAAACCAACGTACAAGCCACAGCCCGGCTGATCCGGAACTGACTTTAGGTGCTTGTCCAGTGCCAGCTTGAAGACTGCCAGGGGTCTGTTGGTAATCCCCCTTATGTGTGCTGGGAGGCAGTTGAACAGTCTCGGGCCCCTGACACTTATTGTATGGTCTCTTAACGTGCTAGTGACACCCCTGCTTTTCATTGGGGGGATGGTGCATCGTCTGCCAAGTCTTTTGCTTTCGTAGCGAGTGATTTTCGTGTGCAAGTTCGGTACTAGTCCCTCTAGGATTTTCCAGGTGTATATAATCATGTATCTCTCCCTCCTGCGTTCCAGGGAATACAGGTTTAGGAACCTCAAGCGCTCCCAATAATTGAGGTGTTTTATCTCCGTTATGCGCGCCGTGAAAGTTCTCTGTACATTTTCTAGGTCAGCCATTTCACCTGCCTTGAAAGGTGCTGTTAGTGTGCAGCAATATTCCAGCCTAGATAGAACAAGTGACCTGAAGAGTGTCATCATGGGTTTGGCCTCCCTAGTTTTGAAGGTTCTCATTATCCATCCTGTCATTTTTCTAGCAGATGCGATTGATACAATGTTATGGTCCTTGAAGGTGAGATCCTCCGACATGATCACTCCCAGGTCTTTGACGTTGGTGTTTCGCTCTATTTTGTGGCCAGAATTTGTTTTGTACTCTGATGAAGATTTAATTTCCTCGTGTTTACCATATCTAAGTAATTGAAATTTCTCATCATTGAACTTCATATTGTTTTCTGCAGCCCACTGAAAGATTTGGTTGATGTCTGCCTGGAGCCTTGCATTGTCTGCAATGGAAGACATTGTCATGCAGATTCGGGTGTCATCTGCAAAGGAAGACACAGTGCTGTGGCTGACATCCTTGTCTATGTTAGATATGAGGATGAGGAACAAGATGGGAGCGAGTACTGTGCCTTGTGGACCAGTGCTTTTCACCGTAGCTGCCTCGGACTTTACTCTGTTGACGACTACTCTCTGTGTTCTGTTAGTGAGGAAATTATAAATCCATCGACCGACTTTTCCTGTTATTCCTTTAGCACGCATTTTGTGCGCTATTACGCCATGGTCACACTTGTCGAAGGCTTTTACAAAGTCTGTATATATTACATCTGCATTCTTTTTGTATTCTAGTGCATCTAGGACCTTGTTGTAGTGATCCCATAGTTGAGACAGATAGGAGCGACCTGTTCTAAACCCATGTTGCCCTGGGTTGTGTAATTGATGGGTTTCTAGATGGGTGGTGATCTTGCTTCTTAGGACCCTTTCAAAGATTCTTATGATATGGGATGTTAGTGCTATCGGTATGTAGTTATTTGCTGTTGTTTCACTGCCCCTTTTGTGGAGTGGGGCTATGTCTGTCGTTTTTAGTAACTGTGGGACGACCCCCGTGTCCATGCTCCCTCTCCATAGGATGGTAAAAGCTCGTGATAGGGGCTTCTTGCAGTTCTTAATGAACACGGAGTTCCATGAGTCTGGCCCTGGGGCAGAGTGCATGGGCATGTCATTTATCGCCTGTTCGAAGTCATTTGGCGTCAGGATAACATCAGATAGGCTTGTGTTAACCAAATTCTGTGGCTCTTTCATAAAAAATTAATTTTGATCTTCAACTCTCAGTCTGGTTAGCGGCTTGCTAATTATTATTATTATAATCAAAAAGAAGCGCTAAGCCACAAGTACTATACAGCGCTGCAGGACAGGAAGGAAGCGAGGGCATCAGGTGGCAAAAGGGAGATGGATGAGTAATAGGTTACGGATAACAGCGGGGTAGTGGATGGTGAAAGGGGAAAGGGCAGCAAGAGACTGAACTAGAAAGGGCTGAGGGAAGTGCGAAAAGTATCATCAGAGTTTGTGGAGTAAATCAGTCGTTGTCAAGAAGTCAATGAGAGAGTCAGGATTAAAGGAGGGTCCATCAGCAAGAAGGGAAGGTAAAGAGAGAGTAGTAGAACGAAGACGACATTGGAGGTAAATTCTGCGTGCTCGTTGATAGAGAGAGCAGTCTAACAGAATGTGGCTAATCGATACTGAAACTTGACACTGCTCACAGAGAGGGACAGGGTGCCTCTCCATGAGATACCCATGAGTAAGACAAGTGTGGCCAATGCAAAGGCGGGAGAGAGTGGTCTCCCAACCTCGGCACTGATGACAAGAAGACGGCCAGTAACCTATGTTCGGTTTAATAGAATGAAGTTTGTTACCGAGCAGAGTTGACCAACGTTGTTGCCAACGGGTGCGAAGGTGGGTAGCTATTGCAGCAAAATAGTCCAAAAATGGAACACCTCTATAGGAAATTGGTAGGTCATGTACTGCTGACCGCGCAGCAGTGTCTGCCTGTTCATTGCCCTGTACGTCGACATGACCAGGGACCCAACAAAAAACAATATCTTTATGTTTGGTAGAGATACGGCGTAGCCAAAGTTGGATACGGAGAACTAGGGGGTGAGATGTATCAAATTTTCGTATAGCCTGTAGAGCACTAAGGGAGTCTGAGACTACCACAAATGATGACACAGGCATAGATGCGATACGAATAAGTGCTGTAAGAATGGCATACAATTCAGCAGTAAAGATGCTAGCCGAAGATAGTAAATACCCCCGCACGACGCTGTCCGGAAACACTGCTGCGAATCCGACGCCGTCTGAAGACTTAAAGCCATCTGTGTACACAGCGGTGGCATAAGAATGGGAGTGGAAGTGATCAAGAAAAAGAGAGCGGGAAGCCACCGTAGGCAGTCGAGCTTGCTAAAAACTGAGTCATATTGGGACTTGAGTAGCTCACTCATTTCCTTGCTGTCATCTGTGTAGGACCCATCTTGTTTAAGTAGGGGCCCAATACTGGATTAGTATTAACATCTTTCTGAGTTGCACACAAGTTTGTGTTAAATAAAAGGTTTTCTAACATTACCACAGTAAATAAATCACAAAAATGTTCAAATGGTTTCTTGACATGTTTTGGTACCTCATGTTTGAAGTCAGGTAATGGAGTATTTATGTCAAGTTTGCTCCAGGTGGCATAAGTGTTGTTGACAGTTTTTTCATGAACCTCATCATCTTCAATTACAGTGGTACCTTGAGATATGAACAGCTCAAAACTCAAACAATTAGGTAAGTGTATTTATGCAAGTGCTTTCGTAAGTGTATTTTTGGGGGTCTGCAACAGATTAATCTAATTTACATCATTCCTTATGGGAACAAATTCGTTCGGTATCGGCATCCGAACAGCCTTCTGGAGCAAATTAAGTTCATATCCCGAGGTACCACTGTACTTGTTTTCGTATATTTCTTCATTTTACACTAACTCACCGGTTTTTCCTAGACAAAGCTTCATGTTCCTCTTCACTTGAAGCTGAAGCATATGGCTGTGGCTCATTTTCATTGGTAGAATCCACTTCCTCATTAGTGTCACTGTCATCAGATAACCCTGGCACAATGTAATCCCTTTGTCTTTGAGCCCTTGATCCATAAAACAAGTTTGTGTTTAACGGAAATGAACAGAAAACACATAATAAGCATTCCAACTGAGCAAATTTTATAAATTTACAAGGTAAATTTATTCATATCTCAATTTAATGCATTTGTTTCAGCATGCAATTGTTAGCTATGACTGGCTGATGGTCTAATTGTTATCACTTAATCCATGATGTATGACACCTTCATTGGCACATTTGTTACTACCATTGTTGGTCTACGCATCACACAAGTACCGTTCAGTGGCACGTGTGGTGCTATGGTTGTCAGGCAACGACTCATAAATGATACAACAAAAGTAAACAAAACTTCATGTGCATTCATCTGTTACTTCTCAATGTCTCACGTAATTCATTTGCATCTTCAAGTCACTCTGACTTTTTTTGAGTTATCCCAGGTTCTCTACACATATGCTGCTATGTATGATAATCTATGTGACTGTATTTGTGTATACCTGAATAAACTTACTTCAAGCTCCACCCAGGTTTGTGATTGAAAGGATTGAGACAAGAGGTCTCTCTGAGGACTCATTTTCTGCTGATGGCGCCATGAAAACCATGCTTTGTTCGCCTCGTTTTTTGGCCTAGCCAGGTAAAGGGCTCGACACTTGCTGTCCATGTTCACCTAGTAGTAAAATAGGTATTTGAGTGTCAGTCTACTGGTGTAGGTGGCATCCAGGGGACAAATTAATAATAATAATAATAATATCTTTATTTACTACAAGTACATGTACAAGGTATACAGTCCTAGCTGACATCAGTGACATTCTACTATATATAAAGCCGCTTGTTATGCTCAGCATGTCGGGAAAATTAGGTTATTGTCCCAGGATGCGACCCACACCAGTCGACTAACACCCAGGTACCCATTTTATTGATGGGGAACGTAGACAACAGGTGTAAAGAAACACGCCCAATGTTTCTACTCTGGCTGGGAATCGAACCCAGACCCTCGCCGTGTGAAGCGAGAGCGTTAGCCACCAGAGCCCGAAATGTTCTACATAACAAGGGGCTTTCTATATATAGTACGTCACTGATGTTAGCTAGGTCTGTATAGCTTGTACATGTAGAAATAAAGATCATCATTATTATTATTCTCATTTCCGACCATATTTTTTTCCGGACTCTGGGAGAGAGAGCTCAATAAAGCGCAGTTTTGGTGGCCCTGAGTAACCCAAACAACAACAAGTCCACAAGACTTCCAGGGACAAAGTCTCGTAATTACCTATTTTACAATTGCCTATTTGTAGCTGCAAGAACAAAGCTGTGTTGGTCATCATTTAGTATGTTCATCAAATACATTCTTTACAATTTCCAATGGTTGTAGTACTTATTATCTCAATTTATTCCATTCTTCCACCATTATTTCCCAATATACCTTCGGATCCATTTTGTTTTACTTAATTTTCATCAGTAGCCTCATGTTAACCTTCATGAAGGCTTTACAATATCTATATCTATTCTTTCATAGCCTTTTATCTTATTTCCTCAAGGAAGTGCCTTTCTGCCGGTGAGATGCTCTTGATCCAAGGAACTGAACTTATCCTCCCATTTCCTCAGGCACTTCCTTGAGGAAATAAGATAAAAGGCTATGAAAGAATAGATATAGATATTGTAAAGCCTTCATGAAGGTTAACATGAGGCTACTGATGTAAATTAAGTAAAAAAAATGGATCCGAAGGTATATTGGGAAATAATGGTGGAAGAATGGAATAAATTGAGATAATAAGTACTACAACCATTGGAAATTGTAAAGAACATGGAGATGGGAAGTACAGTGCCTGAACTCTGAAGGAGGGGTGTTAATGTTGCAGTTTAAAAACTGTAGTGTAAAGCACCCTTCTGGCAAGACAGTGATGGAGTGAATGATGGTGAAAGTTTTTCTTTTTCGGGCCACCCTGCCTTGGTGGGAATCGGCCAGTGTGTTAATAAAAAAAAAAATTGTATATAATAACATTTCAGATCTGTTGGAAGCCATATCCTAGATATGAGTAGCTATCCAGGTGAGTAGGTATCTAGGTGTTAGTTAACTACTGTGGATGGCATCTGGGTCCAAGTCGGAACGAAACATCATTGTAAGCTCCTCTCTCCTATGTGCTGGTTATTTGTGTAGTGAGGTAGGAAATCTTTTTTTTTTCAGGAGACTTCATTTCTTGGCTCAGGGAACAGTGGGCACCACCCTAGACATTGATTGCTTGTAGCTCTGGTAGAGTCTCTCTCCAGGCGAGGTGAGATAAAGAAATCCTGTAATGTGCATTAAATAATTTATCATCTCTTGCCAGTGCAAACATTCACTATAACATTTTAGTATAATTAAAATTGTTTTTTGTAACAATTTTGACCAAATTTGTAGCTCTTATAAAGTATGGTATGCATTTAATTATGAAGTTAATGGTAATTTTTTTATAGCATGAATTAGAAAATATATATGAAAAAAGACTGTACAGTAAATACAGTAAAAAAAAAAAAATTTTGCTACATAACTTAGAGTAACATTTTATTATCTGATTGTGTTACCTATCAAATATATGTACTATAACATATGCAATGGAAATATGTACATTGTTTTATGTTACTGAGTTATCCTGGGTTAAATCTACATAACGTTCTATACATGTGTCCATAACTTCTGTATGTACTCAATACCTTTTTAAAGATTAAAACTACATTGTAAAACTTTAATAAAAATTTATTTTCATCCAAAACCTAGTATTAAGGAATTAGTTTGAATTAAAATACATACATAGAAATGTGCGAAATATTAATAATTCTATATTAAACAAGAAAATCTAAAGGTCTTGGAATATTTGCTGTTTAGTGACATCTAGACTGTCATAGCTGAGCACCTCAGGCAAGACAGTGATATTGTGAATAATGGTGAAAGTGTTTCTTCTTCGGGTCACCTTGCCTCGGTGAGAGATGGCCTGTGTGCCAAAAAAATAATCTAGTTTTCATTTGATAGAGCTTAAATATGTCTACCTTCACAATTTTACAAAATTAATAACATAATTTTCCTCAGGTTGCTGGTTTTGTCTAAAACTCAAAAGACAGCTGATCATGAGGGTAACAGATGTGAGGCTTAGGCTGAACATTGGTGCCCAGTTCAGAGCCTTGTGGTTGCTGAAAAGCAGGAGGCGGATTTCTGATACTGGAGCTGAAGCAATCCTGACTGCTAGAGGAGTGCCTGTTGTAGATCCTCGAGAGATTCTGTCACCTGCATATCCTCGCATGTGAGTGACATGAAAAAATGAGAGTGGGGAAGGGAAAGCTGCATTTTAAAAATACCAGGAGCTGTTTAACCATTAATTTAATAAATGACAAAGTGAGGAATGTTATTTTCTGTTTTTAAGTACAGCTTATTAATTTCCAAAAGAAAATGTCAATTTTAGATGCTAACTGAAAGAGATTATGGTAATGTGCATATATTTATTTGTTAAAATCATTCTACAGTATGTTATTAAAAAATCAACTTTATACAGTATACTGATAATGCAGTTCTATACTTAATACAGTAACACAATTTTTGGTTGCTTTGTTTGGTTCTTCACATACAATATTTATTTTTATTTCTCTGAAATGCTGGGATCTTATTCTTGGAGTAACAGGAGTAGGAAGAGTTGATGAAGTAATAGTTGGAATGATGATGATAGTTGTAGTAGTAAGGGCAAGAGATCTCAATCTACAATCATGCTAATTTAATTTGAATGTCACCAGAGCAGACTAAGGTTCCATTTTTTGAAAGGTCTTGGTGGATGGAGGTGTGATTTAACCCTTTGACTGTCGCGGCCTGTATATATACGTCTTATGAGGTATCGTGTTTGACGTATATATACTCATAAATTCTAGCAGCTTCAAATCAAGCAGGAGAAAGCTGGTAGGCCCACATGTGAGAGAATGGGTCTGTGTGGTCAGTTTGCACCATATAAAAAAAATCCTGGAGCACGCAGTGCATAATGAGAAAAAAAAACTCTGACCGTTTTTTTTTAATTAAAATGCCGACTTTGTGGTCTATTGTCGTATAGTATTTATGGTTGTATTCTCGTTTTCTTGGTCTCATTTGATAGAATGGAAAACATATTATAGAAGTAGAGGTGATTTTGATTGATTTTACTATAAAAAGAACCTAGAAATGGAGCTCAAGGTAGGGGAAATGTTTGATTTTTGCCAATGTTCAAAAGTAAAGAAATGATGCCATTGTCCAATAAATGTCCAACTAGCCATTCTGATATGCAGTCATGAATGGGTTGATGTTATTTATACAGTTATTACAGTATTGCAGTAGTCTGCATAATAGTAAGTCTTCTATTTTTTGTTTGAATAAAAATTCAAAATAGAAAGCAAGAGTAATATCAGAGGGGCCTGGAGACATGACTGATGAGCAAAGAAAATGTTATTTTAGAGCCAGGAATGTCTGCATTGTTCATTCTGGACCTTATTTTGAAATTGTCATATTTTTTAGTTTTCGTGAAATTGGCCAAATTGCAAATTTCTGACCACATTATTAGGTAGTTGAAATTGGTAAATGGGCAGTTTCTTGTACTCAATCGATAGAAAAAATGGAGTTCTAAAGAAATAGCTATGAGTTTGGGCGACCGGAACAATGGAATTAGCCGAAAATAGGGCTCAAAGTGGGCGAAATCGCCGATTTGTAAACAGCGCCAAGGTCGCTAACTTCGCGAGAGAATAATTATGTCAGTTTTTCATCAAATTTCGTTTTTTTGGTGTCATTACAATCGGGAAAAGATTCTCTATCATTTCATAAGAAAAAATAATTTTTTTTTTTTTTAAATTTTGCGACACCAGGAGACACCTCAGGATTGGGGGTTGCGACAGTCAAAGGGTTAAAGGCACCATTCATCATGTTTAGTGCATCAGTGGTTGAAAACCTATGTTAGGCTGTTATGGTGCAGACCAAAAGTTGACTCATTCTTGAGCTGTAAAAGAGTTTGTCACTTGTAGCACATCAATGGTTTTTCTGTTTTCCTGCTCATACATGACAGAAATGAGAGTGTAGCTTTATTTTAATTTTGCTTTTTTCATGAATGCCTACGAATGATAGTACTTGGTGCCTGATTATCTTAGATCTGTGTTTTAGTTCTCTATCAGGGCCTTATATAGTATTCTTGAAGATAACTGTATGCTGATTCTGTGTTTGGGACCCATTCTAGCTACTTTGTTTATTGACAAGGAGCAAAGAAACTCCTTGATAGGTTTGGTTTTTCTTTTCTTGTTTGTATGCCAAGACAGCCAGGACAGTGTTCTAGGAAAGTGATGACAAATGTACCAAAAACAAATAAACAAAACACACACACAAACACGCACATGCATGCATGCACGCACATGCATGCATGCACGCACATGCACACACACACACTCACGCATGCACGCAGTGCATCTGGAGTTTATAGCCTTGGAGTTATGTAGAGACCTGATGAAGACACTGGTGTTCCTCAGGGAAGCTGCTGGCTACCAGGAAATTGCTGAGAGAGGCATAACATAAGAAACGGCCTTAGAAGTTTGTTCAGTAAACTGCTGTAATGTCTGGCCCAAATTATTTAGCCAATTGGGTGTGAAGATAAGCTCATATAGGACAGCCTGAAGAGTATGGTGCCTAGTGGTTTCTATAAACTCAACAAGAATCTGGTTGAACTTATGGACTAGATTCATTTGTTAAAAAATTATGAATCTATAAAGGTAATGGGCAAAGTCCTGGAAGATTAGGGATAGGACAATGTGCTGCTATTGAGGGCACTGGAATTGCCACTGATACCACTGTCAGGACAATGACTCAGGGACAACTCAAAGAAGCAAGCAGTGTATTAGTTAGATTGGTGCACTAGCATGACATCAAGAGTCATCAGGGGGTTAGCAAGATCCCCTAGTTAATTTTATAAAATCTTAAGTGCTTTATCTGCAAATTAATTTACAATACTGTGTTTACTTTCAGAATTGAAGTGGTTGATCCTCCACCTCAACCAAGCGTTTTGCAGGATTGGAAAACAGAGGTGAAAGACACTCCTTGTCATGTGTTTAACAAGAGGTTCTCCCCACTGATAGGCATGCCCCAAGTTCAGTGTCTCACAAACTCTGTTGTCCAGTCTTCATTGCCAAAATCTGTACTAGATTGTGCTACTAAAATCACAGAGGAGGAAGATAAGAAAGTGAAAGAGTAAGTGATGTGCCTTTCCTACTCCCATTATAGTTTAATTCTTAAAAAATACCCATTGTTTTGTAATTAATGTGTACGATGAGTAGTCATATTGTATTAGTGTTGTTTTATTAATTGTCAATTTTTTTATGAAAACTGTATCAGTGTTGTGCTGTAGATTGGAAAGGTAATTATGGTTGGGTAGGCATAGCATTTTTCCATTATATAGTACTGTATAAGAATGGAAAGTGTTATGCCAGAATGCAAGACAGATTTATTCTTAGTATCGTCTTTCTTCACCCACCTCCCCTTCCTATCTTTTCCCACATCTGCATAAATGCACTTAGATAACCATTCCTGTGGTACATGGGACATTTCATAGAAGGACTGTTTCATTAAGTGATGATCAGGTTTTGTTTAGCAAGTCTAATTTTTTTTTCATGCATTGCAAAATATTTGCATTAACCCTTTCAGGGTCCGTGCCGTAGATCTATGGCTTTACGTTCAGGGTCCAAACCGTAGATCTATGCCATGAGCTCTGCTCACTC